TGAGGGGGATGCGGCACCGGCGGAGACTGGCGTGGTGAAGCTATGAGCCCTTCTGCCCGCTGAGGAACTCCGCTAGCCGCATTGCATAACGTGGACCTTAAAGCACGTCCTCGGTGGCTCCTAAAGCGGCACGTCGGTGCTTTTGCAAGTCTGAGGCACTATGGGATGGCATTAAACAGCATCGCTTCTGGTGATGGATCGTGTGCCAGGAGCTCCGTGAGACACAAGGGACTAGAAAGCCCAAGTGCTGACAGAAGAAGGGTGATACCCTGCCCAGAGAGGATTTGGGGTGAATTTTGCCATTGCCTTCAAGGGAACCAGGATTTCACAGCTCCTGAGTTCTCCCGTTGGTGGCTTTACACAAAAAAAGTCACGTTAAGGATAGACACGGGTATCCTGGAAAACCTGAGAACATCAGTCTATCACCCCGAGATTCCAGGACCTTGGCACGTAAACATTCATCCTGTATTAGCCCTCTGAGGAATACCACAATGTGTTATTAAAGTTGGTGAGCAAAGCGATGATGGTAGCATCACTTTCATTTAAATTTTTAAATTAATTTACAATACAGCTAAGATTACACCAGGAATCCTTTGCTAATGTAAGTCTGGCTGCAGCTTTTCCAAACGTGCATTCCTAATAGGGAATGCTGACCAAGAGAAGGAGAATGGCAGTTGTGTAAATTAAAGTTGAACAACACGAGTGGAAAGAATGTGAGCCTTATGTTTAGAAATTTTTTGGCATGTTTTTGTCCGAGGTTAGTTGTTCTCACTACCTCAGAAGAAATTTACTGTTGTGCACAATAATACAGTTCCTCTTACAGGTTTTCTGTTGCAAGTAGGAAATTTATAGTTGGAACCGTGGAGTGGAAAATATTATTGAGGCCAGGGTTCTAGTAGCACATTATTTTAAGCTTCTTGCTTATTTATTATTTAATACTGTACAAGGCCGTAAATCAAAACAGCACTTTATGAACTTGAAGCACCTCTCAACTTCAGCTTGAAAGATCTAAAGCAGACTAGAAAAACAGACAAATAACCAGAGATGAGACCATAAAATGTAATGAGGGAGGTGGACCTCTTCAGTCCTCAAAAGTGCTGATCCAGGTATGTTGGGCATCACTTTGATGCTCCTCTCTGCCCTTCTGCCCTCAAACTTTTATTGATCAGTGTTACTTTTAGCTTGAGGCCCTCTAAGTTCATTCAAACCAGTATGAGAGTGTTAAAACAAGAAAACAAACACAATACCACTCCTGGTGCTAAAGATTCAACTTGGAACTGTTGAATCTTAAAGTGCTGCCATAGCGGGGATCACACATCCGAACTCTGTTGTCCAAGCAGCTAATCAGCTTCTGTGACACTGCTCCAGGAGCAGGAAGGTGACCAGCCTCATCAGGCTTCTCCTCGTGGCTGGAACCTGGCAGGAGGAGTCTATACTGTCTAGCATTGGGTGAGTTCAACTCATAGTGCATTGATATTAATGTGGCACCATCCTGAGCTGCTCACTCACCTTCCCATTCCTGAAGAAATGAACTACTACAAAATGAAGGTTGAATTTCAACCCTTTCTTGAGAGTTGAAAATCCAACATGGCTTTTGAACTCGGTACTTTTTCCAAAAGTATCTTGTGTTTTTCTCCATGCAGTTCTCTGGTTCGTAGGTGGTTTGTAGGGGAGCCAAGGGCTGTGTGCTGTATTTATGAAGATAATTTCTCCTGGATGGATTGTGTCTGGTGTCCTTATTGTGTAATATTTGCACTTGTCATTAGAGAAGTTTGTGTTCTGATAACTGTGCTTACTTAACACAGGATCTATGATACCCGTGACTTTCTGGGTTTACAGTTATATTCACTAAACAGATAACTTAGATGATGCTATCCAAACAAAAGATTCAAATGCCAGTTTTCTTATCCCTCATATTAATATTTAAAAATTTAAAATGAATCTGCAAGTTACTGACCCAAACACTCAGGAGAGGCTGGAAGAACATCTCTGCAGGAATCAGTTTGGATAGCAGAATTATCAGAATAACCTTCTCTCCTTGTCTGTGCTGGAGGACATGAAGGCAGAGAGAATGTTTTATACAGTCCTGAAAGCCAAATGTCCCCAATAAGCCCTAGAGCAGATGAACATGCCCAGAGTGCTTAGGGCTTGTGGTGGGAGCAAGGATTCCTGGAATCACTCTGTCCTTGTACTTGGCACACACATAGTAATCTTCTTCAGTATGAAAAAAAGTAACTCCCTGTCCTAAATATTTTTAGGCAGTTTTAGGCAACAGATGTTAGCAGTGCAAGGGAAGACTCTTTGATCATTATGTTGTTTTGATTTGCTCCCAGGTGCTGAGGAGTTTTAGAGCTATTCAGACTCCATTTCTATCCTAACATGGACGTGGTTCAATCAGCCTCCACGGAAATCACAATTACTAAGAAACCCTTCAAGAAAATACCCAGTGTCCTTCTGGACAGCCTAGTGGAGGAACCTAAAAAAAGACCTGCTGTTCCTAATCACCTGCTGGAATCAAGTAAGCTTCTGCTCTCTGACTGTTCCCCAACCTTGCAGCAATCCTAGGAGGCACTTTGCTTTTTTTTAATTATTTTTTTTTATTTTTTCATTGCTTAAATTGCATCTTCTTGTGAGCCCAAATCATAGGAGAGGTTGTCAGCAAGGAAGTAGTGGCTGTACTGATCCTGGCTGACCCTAAAGTACAGCCTGATCTGGCGAGAGGATCATGGCTCTGCTGGGGTGGTAGATGCTGCCTTAACTTTCCATTTAAAGACTCATACCTGCAGAACAGGAGAAATAATGTCTATCTTGTTTTTTTTTTTCTCTATAATACAGTGTGTGCAACATAAATAAACAATCACTACAAGTAAAAATCATCATGTGTGTTTCACCTGATCTCTTTTTCTCCCTGGTTTTTTATCTATCTCTGTAGAGATTTTCTCAGAACTTCGGAGGAGCAACGTTGTACAGGCTGAGCCTGCTGTGTTACACTACGGAGGGTATGAAGTTGGAAAACATCACCAACGGATGCTGGTGAGTGTCAGAGCAGGGATCCTCTTGGGGCTCATAAAAGGACAGCAGAAGCCGAGCAGACTGCTTGTGGTCATGAAGCCATTTGCTCTCTGGAGTGCTCTAAAAAGCAGCACTTAAAATCGGTGGCCCTGCAGTAACAAAACCAACGAGTGCCATGCTGTGTGTGTCACTGTCCTTTACAGGCTCTGCTTTACTTTTCTGTTTCCTGTGTCTGTGGGCAGTGTTAGTGATATGTGCCTTCAAGTCACGAATGAAGGATTCCTGCTTTAACTCAATTGGAAACTGTTTTCAAAATGTACTTGGACCGGTCACAGTGTCTGCAAACATGTTCACTTGGTGGGAAAATTTTAAAGCACCTCTGACCTTCTGCCAAGAGCAATTCAATCCAAGGAATGAAACTCAGGGCATAGGTTTGATTACCTTTCCTTGTGAATAGTTTGGGTATTTCCTTGTATTCTGTCTGCTTGCCCTTTGTCGGCCTTCTTTATTCATGTGATGAGGGTTTTGAGGCAGAGGTTGGGTGATTATGGTGGCCTAGGTCCTCCAGATATAATAAAAGTAAACAAGATGCAGGAGGCTTTACAGGCTGAACTGTCACCATCCAAAGGTTTGTTGCTTTGTGATCCAAAGCAAAACCATGGAATATTGCATCATTTCTGTTGTTTCAGACCTTTGTAAAAGCAAAGTCAATAGGTTGTTTCATTTTTTGTACCTTTTGCACCTAAGCAAAACAGGACCAGAATTTGATCCAACAGTAGCACTGTCTTTAGCAAGACTAAGCGTTGTTCTTAGGTAAGGAATTGTGACTTTGTTCTGAAGAATAAAAATGCAGGATGCAAAGTTTACATTATTTTCTTTTCAATTCAGAGCATATTCATAATTATTTCTGCTAAAGTAAAAAATTCTACTTCCTTGTTTAATGCAGCTTCTTTGCTACGGATCGTCTCACAAAAAGTACAGTTGACATTCTCAGTTGACCTCTGATATTGTAAAGAGTTTTGCAGTTTTGGTTTTCTTTTGTTCTACAGAAGCTGATAAATATTTCTGGCGATGTAATAAACCTTCACATAATACCACCCCAGACAAAGTATTTTCAGATCAAATACAACAAAACAGTAAGTGTCAGAAAGCCTTTGCACTGCTCTTTGCATGCAGCAGCGTTGGGTTTGTGTCATATAAGCAGCTTTTACATGCGTTCTCTCTTATTTTGGGTCATTTTCTAGCACCGGCTTGTCCCTGGCTTGTCATACGCGGTTACTGTTGATTTTTGCCCTGATGAGTGGGGGTATTACTGTGACTGCGTCCGTGTTCACTGTCAGGTGAGGATTTATTATCAAATACATTTAGAGTTGTAAGGGAATGAAACAGCTATTAGGACGTGATGACAATGGTAAAGTAAAGGTACAGTTAATCTCTTACAGCCACATGGATTTATTCTCCATAAGTCTGGATTGGTGTTTTGAATTTTAAGCATTTAAAATTTTTCAGTCTGTAAACGTCCCAGAGCTGTGGGTAAAATATCTTCCTTATTCTGTTATTCTTTGCTGGCAGATCAGTCTTTGTGCCACACTGATGTAATGTCTTAGCAGAGCAGGTTTGGAGAAGCTCTAGATAGTTGCTGAAAGTATGCAAAGACAGGTGGATACTGAAAGCAGGTAGAATATCAATATCCTGAGGTGCAACACAGTGAATATCTTGAAGATGTTTTATGCCCGTTACTGGCCAACTACTACAGAAATTTTTTTCTTTCTGTAAAATCTATTCGTTGCAAGAAATAAATATTTACCCCTTTTTTTTGCAGGGAGAAGATACACTAGTCATTCCTGTGCATGCTTACCCTGTTGTCAATGTTGTAGACTTTCCATCATTTATAAATCTGTCTGATGTATCAGTTGGTAAGAGGTGAGTTAAGGACAGAGATTTGTCCACATTTTGTGAGACCTGCACAAAATCTGAAAAATCTCGTTTTCCTCTATTTGTACAACTTAATATCTTGGAAGCTTTAAGGAATTCAGCTACCATCTAGACTGCAAAGTAATTCCATATATGTACTGTTTCAGGTGCACATTCACAGGAAAGTAAATGCTGCACAAACTAAACATATACATAGGTGGAACTGGGGTTTCAGTTAGTCTAAATTGGTGCTGACTCACTCACTTCATTCATCGTACAGTGAAGCAATATGTCTGCTGTTCATAATCTGTACACTCCCCAGTGCTATGGCTTTTTAGTGTTAATAAGTCCTAAGTGAATGGATCTTCCTTTCAAGATGAAGGATTCTGGAAACGAAGGTATGAGCTGGTGATGGTAGGCATAAGTGATAGCAAATAGCTAACCTGAGTCCAGAGATCAATCAGTCATTAGATTTGCTTCTTTTGTTTAAAAATATTTAAAGTGATCTTCTGTGTGGGGCTCTAAATTGCATAGTCTTTGTCTTACTCTGTCTGTTGCATAGATGTAACCCTGACTGTTCTCATTAAGTAATCGGTAATAATTGTTAATAGGAACTGGGAAGAGGAAAAGAAGGGAGATCCTGTTGATTAGGGTCTAGTTCTGTAGTATATTGACTATATTAATTGTAATTATGGTGATTTATGTTAGTGTAAAGATTTCAGTGAATTCAAGGAACTGATGGTCTTAGCATCTAGGTTTTGTCTTAGCCTCTGAGTTGGAAGTAACTCATGAATTTTACTGAAGCACAGAAATACGAATAGGCAAGGCACATACAAGGAAAATGCAAAATTCTGCAGTAAAAATGAGCCCAGCATTGTAGAATGAACATTTGTGTCTTTTTTTAAATTTGTTTTTCTAATCCTCCTTAATCTGTTAAACTCTAGTAAATCCATCAGAAGTGACATTACAGCTTTCTCACAGGACTGAACATAACTCCTGACATTCTAAGCATGACGTGATTCTGTTTATTGGCTCCATTTTTAAAACAAGTGCTGAAATAGAGTTTTCATACTCTCAGAACACAGAGAAGGGATTAGACAGAGTACAAAATACCATTTTAAATAATGGTAAAATTTTCCAACACAACAGTGTTGCTCAGAGATGCCCCTGAGGGAATTTGGAAGAGTTCCTGAGGAGAAAACTGATGGTTTCAAGCCTTAATTTTTACCAGTGTTTTTCGTCATTAGGCTATTAAAAACTTTCCTAAAAATGAAAGCTCTCTGAGGTACTCGGTGCTGTACAGAACCCAAGGGACTATGGGCTCAATCTAGAACCCACTGAGGTCAATGGAAAAACTGCCTTTTACTTCTGTGAGTGTAGGATAAGACCTATATTCTACCACACAGCTTTCTCCTTAGGTACAGAAGGTTCACAAGGCAACTGGCAGCATAATGGTCTTGATTTTAAGGCACTTTGGTTACTGTACAAGCTGCACTATACCTTAAAACAAATTGCTGCCTCAGTCTGCAGTTACATCTTCTTCATGAACAGATCATATTAAGGCAAAGAAAAAAAGCCTTTGCTATTATTGTTTATTTCCTTAAGCATTTCAAAGTGTGCTTTCCAAAGGAACACTGTGTATAACACACATTCTTTGCTAATCAGCAGGATAGGATTTCAGACAGTTTACAAAAAACAGAAATAAGCCTGGTTAAATTAGTCTTGATTTGTAGAGTGATGGATGGTGTTACACCAATGCTTGTGTTTCAATTTGATATATGAAAATGGGTGCATACTAAAGCAAGACAGCTTGAAAAGATGTGTGCTGATACCCCTCACACAATCAGCATGAGACATAAAAGGCTTTTATGAAAATCAAGCCACAGCATCCTTATTTCTACGGTGGGTAAAGTCCAGTCATTCTGATGTGTTGGAGTTTTCAACGCTTTTGAAGATTGCATGGTCTTTTCTCATCGTCTTCCACAAGGAAGGGCATGGGAGAAGGCTGATTTCTGGTTCTATACTTGTTGTTGCTTCAGTCTGGATTGTTTGTACATGCCAAATATTGCAGTTTGTAAGGATGTGAGGGTACACATAAATAACTTCTAAAATGTATATTTTATATTTTTTTTCTGTAATCAGATTCTGTATGGGTAGGAGAAAATAAGTCAAGATGTAAAATATCCAGCATTGACATCAAGATTTAACTCTTTTCCTCACTGAGTGAAAGATCTGAAAAATTTTGCTGTTTTGGAACAATGAGGAATGACTATTTTCACATTAATAATTAACCCATCCCTCTGGACACAGATAAATTCAGTGCATGTTGTGTATATTAGAATTTTACAGCCTGTAATTGATGATCAACTGTAGTTTCATTGATTTCTCTCTTCCTTTCTCTCTTTCCAGTAAGGAGTATGTTATCCCGTTGCAGTGCAGCTGTCCAATAGATTTTGAATTCCACATTGATTTTATTCAGCCTCACAGAGCCTTCACTGTCCAGCCAACATTTGGTAGATTGAATTTATTTAATATTCTAAATGTTTAATATTCTTGATTGATGAACTGTAGTTACTTGTGACAGCGCTGTACAGAAAAAGCCTTTGCCTCAGAGTGTTTTCAGGTAAATGCAGGTTGATAAATATTAGTCATATGCAACCTCATGGCGAATGGTCATTCTTTCAGGATAATGTTCTTTCTTACTTTGTGCTTAAAGAAATGTTAATATATCAAGGGAGGAGAGGAACAATATTACAATTGAGTAAAACTTGGGAGGAGGTGTAAAATTAATCATTAAGTTTTGGGGGTTTTTGTACTCTCATAGACAAAGTGGCTGGAACTAATTCATGCTTTCTAAATTGGCTTAGTTCTTGGGAGAGACAAGAACAAAAATATCCCAGAAAAAACATCAACCCAGTAAAAGTTGTCAGAATTTTGGTAACTAGAAACTCAGAAGTGCTGAAGGGTATCTAAGCAGCACTAAGAAGTTTCAGCTCCTACTCAGGCCATTGTGCTCTGTGATCAGTAAAATTATGAAATGCTCTTAATAAATTACACATAGAAAAAAATCCCAGTGAAACTAACTGGCATTTGAAACTAGAGGATACAGAAAACCAGGCAATGGTCATTTTACAGAGATGAGAAATTAATATTTCTGATGAGCTGAACAAAGTCCTTGTTGTGGAAATGCTGAGGAGCATCAGGGCCTGTATCCTGGAATTGCACTGAGAGTTTAGGGATATGAAGTGTGGTTAAAATGAAATAGATTATAAGGAAATAAGACCAAGTAGAGACAGGAAATGTATCAAATCCAGATGATTCCCCCAACTTGGAAGAGCACAGAGGATTATGTTTATAATGCTTTGCTCATGAAAGCAGGAAGTGCCAGAGACTTAACACTGCCAGATGCAAGTGAAGAATTTCTACATATAAACAGGCAATCATTTTCACAACAGTAGGAAATATTATAATCTTACTGTTAAATCTCACTGCTATTGCAAAATATCTCCCATTATCTGGCAATGGATAGTTCTTGGAAGACCTGAAATATTTTCCAGACCTACTGCCATCCACTCAAACATTAATATTGTTTAAAAAAATGTAATCCAGAATCAATTTCAGTGTACTTAAGTGGGCTCACATTAGATGGACTTTTATTGTTTTTCTCCTCTAATCCCAGGAATCATTCCAGGCAATGGGAAAGTGGAAGTAACTGTGAAATATTCCCCACTTGAGTATGGAACAGCACGAATGACAATGCAGTTATGGATTTCACAGTTTCACTCAAAACCCTATGTATGTGTGTTCACAGGAACATCAAGACCACATCTGGGTCTAACGTACGTGTGGCTGACTGATCTTTGAGTATTTTTGCCCAGTGCTAAGAAATACATATGTAATAGGATTTCATGCCATTTTGCTGTAATCATTTGAAGCATTTGTATCTACAGAGATTTCAAGTGCATAATGCAATTTGACTATTAATACATATACCAGCTCTCTTAGATCATTTGCTCAGAATGCCCTTAGTCTGTATGAAGTGAAACTGTACCAAAATAAATATAATGAGAAGTTACATATCCTGAAAGAAGTGTTGAGCATCCTCAGCTTCTATTATGCCTGTTCTATGTTATTCTTATTGCTGAGGCCTTACAAGATACAGGGGTTTTTGAACAATAAGATCTTCCGGGCTGTACTTAATTTTTTGTTAACTCTGAAGATTAGAAAGTTTGGTTCCGGTTGTAATTTGGGAGAGAAATTTCCAGTCTCCCTGTATATCTAAAGGGGATGTTCATGCACGTTCTAGACTTATATGCCATTTACAGAGTACTTATAAGAGCAATACCTGTCCTTCTGACACCTAGAAAAGAACATTTTGACAAACAACAAAGTCATCCAGAGAAAAGAGCTGGGTCTGCAGGAAAATCCATGGTGTGGAGAAGAGACCAATTCAGCCAACCACAGTTGAAGCCTGTTCAAAAATTAAAGGTGTGAAGAGATAATAATTGTAGAATCATTTGGTTGGAAAAGACCTTTGAGATCATTGAGTCCAACTGTACCTGTCCACTACTAAACCATATCTCCGAGCACCCCATCTACCCATCTTTTAAATACCTCCAGGGATGGCGACTCAACCACCTCCCTGGGCAACCCGTTCCTTTGTCTGAGAACCCTTTCAGTGAAGAAATTTTTCCTGACATTTAATCTGTACTTCCCTTGGCAAAAACTGGAACACTAGAAGTTCCATACAAACTTAAGGAAAAATTTATTTACAGTGAGGGTGACGGAGCACTGGAACAGGCTGCCCAGAGAGGCTGTGGAGTCTCCATCTCTGGAGATGTTCAAAACCCGCCTGGATGCTTTCCTGTGCAACCTGCTGTAAGGAACCTGCTTCGGCAGGAGGGTTGGAGTAGATGATCTCCTGAGGTCCCTTCCAACCCCTACTATTCTGTGATTCTGTGTGATTCTGTGATTGTTTGAACTTGAGGCCATTGCCTCTTGTCCTGTCACTCGTTACCTGGGAGAAAAGACACACACCCGCCTCACTACGACCTGCTTTCAGGCAGTTGTAGACAGCGTTAAGGTCTCCCCTCAGCCTCCTCTTCTCCAGACTAAACAACCCCAGTTCCCTCAGCCACTCCTCATAAGGCTTGTGCTCCAGCGCCTTCACCAGCTTCGTTGCCCTCCTCTGGACATGCTCCACTGCCCCAATGTCCTTCTTGTAGTGAGGGGCCCAAAGCTGGACACAGTATTCAAGGTGCAGCCTCACCAATGCTGAGTACAGGGCAAGGCTGACTTCCCTGGTCCTGCTGGCCACGAGTACTTTTCTGGGCTGAAAATCTTTCTTGTTTCTATTTCATCCTATTAATTTCTATTTTGTAGGAAATAGAATACCAGAACCTTAGATTCCCCACAGACTTGTCGAATCCATATGCTGTAGCTACTGTTTTGAATCAGGAGCCAGGCAAATTGAAGATTAAGGACTTGAAAGAAGGTAATGGAATTAAGCAGCATAAACTTGGTCTTAGCATTTCTGCTAGTAGGTGTCTGGTGAGGAACTTGGCTTCAGAATTGCTGAGGTAACGTGATTGTCGTTTCTGCAAGAAATCTCACCTTAGCGTTATGTATTAATGAGTTCAGTTCTCATAATGGGTGGATTTCCCAATTAGAAATTCAGTCTAGTTTGAGGTGTGACATGGCTTTCTGATATTCCTGCAGCCCTTTACCAAGGCAATGAAGGGATAAACACAAGACAAATGAAGGAAGCTGCATTTCAGCTAAAAGTCAAACAAAATATTCAGGAAGAGGAAGCAAATCATCTGAAGTGGTGAGTGTTAACCACATTAACAACACTGGGATTTGCTTAACCAAGGCCTCTATGAATGATGTATGCAATATCCACTAGCGTGTAAAGCTGCCATTTCATGTCCCAATAGGTTTGTTTTACAGCTAAGTCACTGTTGGTTTACTTTCATTTTTTTTCTCTTCTGCCTAAGAGCAGTCTCAGTAGTAATCCATAGTAGTACCCAGTGAGGTCTTTGGCTGTGTTAATGGTTGCATTCAGAAAGAAACCTGCTGAAAACCTTGTTCACCTAACCTTGTTCTCAGGCATCTCATCTTGTGCCCTTAAGGGCAAAGGAAGGTTTTACCATGGTTGTCAGTAAATCAAGGCTAAAATGTATCATGGAGCGGACAGAATTGCATATGTACATCAAATATCATAAAGCAAAACACATAGTTGTGTGTGTAAGCACACCGTGGCTTCACTTGCAATCTACAGAACTGGATTCCTCTTATGCTGAATGTTATGGATGCCTAGACACCTTAGGAAGAGGAGAATCAGTCTGTTAGCCTTTAAATAAAGTAAATTGTGCATTAAGTAAAGTGTTTTTCTTGCCTCCACTGTAAATGCAGGCAAGTTCATAAAGGCAAAGATCCAGTCTCTGTGGAATTAAAAAAAGTGATTATTGAAAACCGACAGAGGGAGGAAGAGCACTACAAGGTTAGTCTTTGCTGTTTTTTCTATAAATATAAAATCAAATTTATACTTTCAGATTATGCAGTGCACTAGTGAATTGTATCAAGCTCTCTCCATTTTTCTTCATGCTTCAATGCAAACCTGTACTAGCTGTACTCCTTACTGCAGTTATATCCATATTATGCCTGTGTATCACTGTTTAGGAGGTGGTTTTATATTGCAGACCCAAAAAACCCCTTGTTTTACTTTGTTTGACTTGCCCAAGGGTTGCAATAATCCCTCCCTAGGAGAGAATGAAGTCTGTGTTTTGTCCAGCACCTCCAGAATGTTACATTTTAAGTGAGTTTCGCTAATTGTAAGGGAGAAGAGAATTCACTGGATGCTTTGTACTAATGTGATTGTTCTTCCTGGTGACAAATTAGATCCAAAGAGGAGATCCGATCATAGTGCAGGAGTTTCAAAGGAATGAAGTAGAAGTTTCTTGCAGACGTGTTATGCGGCCTGTTGACCAGGTTTGTTTATATATTGTTACCACCTGCTACATGTTATTATCACCTGCTAAGCTAACAGCCATAGATATTTGTCACTGAACACTTTCCCTCCCAATATTCCCATTTCTGTGTCAATGTCTTATTTCTCATTTTGCTTTTAGTGTGATAGGGCAAGCACTGTGATACATGCACAACTGATCTTCTGATGTTCTGATCTAATATGAGAGACAAGTGGAAATCTGCAGGCTTAACCTGAGATACATATGGCTTGTGGCTGAAAGTTCTATCAGGAGTAGCTTTCTCATGCCTAAACGTGAGGTTAAGCACATCACAAGATTTGCAACCATTACCTGCAGGTTGGATTGACAGGAACCTTTCTGGTACTTAGATGTTTAGTCCTTCTCTGGTGTGAGGTACTTCCTAAAATCTATTTCCTAGGATTATGGGGAGCTTTGTTTAATAGATACCCTACTACTGAAGGAACTTTGAATGTTAGCAACACAAACTGCCTTCTTCTTGAGGAGCATGATAGCTGTGGGAACTGGTCTTTTACTATACTCTTACACCTTTTACGAAGTGCTGAAAATTGTTTGGTGAGGCATGGCATGGGGTTTTGTGGAGCTGGTGTCCTGAAGAACTTCCTAATCTAAATGCTGGTTGAGCAGCTGCCTTCCTGTTGAGAGGTACTGTACTCTGGGGTCGTTGTAATCTCTTGTAGTGCCACATTCTTCTGTCACATCAATTTAAAACTAGAGAAGAGATTAATGCATCAAGAAAGAGATTTACTTGTGTTCAAAGAGTATTCCAACAGTTTAAGGCATTAAATATATAGACGTCACCTCTGCTCAAGTATGTCCAGAGCTGGAGATCACTAGATGTGAGGAGGCTATTCTGGGCAATTATCACTCAAAATTTACCCTGGTCTTCTGCCCTTCTGTGGGTATGTGCTATCAGCCATTATTATCATCCAGACAGGATACTGGTTTTGCTGGGCCCCTGGTTTGAGCTCTTACAGCTATTCCAACTTTATATCTGTGCAAGGTGAAGTGTGTATTCGGTACAGACCTCGTCCATTCTCTCCACTGTCTGACTGCCCATGAGTTGCACTTGAGTTGCAGTATGTGGTTGTCAATCGTGTGGATGCAGACCACGTTATATTATCTCTGCATTCCCCATACTGCATCTGCAAATATTTGGTGATTATCTCCCATTAAGTGCTGCAGTGAAGACTTGTGGTTAAATGCCAGTACTGTGAACATTTTCACTTGACTTAATTTTGGTGTATAACATAGATACAGAAATATATATATACTAATACAGAAATATAACAGAAATAACATATGGATTCAGACCAAGGAATGCCTTGGGCTGAAGGAAATTCCTCCCTTGTCTGGCTGTAAAAACAATGTCCTTTCTGTTTCTTTTTTAAAAAATGCCATGCAGTATCCAAGTGTCCATCCCACATTTGACTTGCTCTGTAATGACCCTTGGGACAACAGAAACAGGATGTTGAGGAAATTCCAGCAAGCAGCATACAAGGTAACATGAACGAGTAGAATGCAGTGTGATGGCATGACGCCTTGGAAATAGCACCAAAGAACATGCAAACTAGCACGTAAGGAGTCTTCATAGCTAGCCAGGAATTTGGTAGTTTGATAAATATGTCCCTACTTCACCAGGAAATAAGGATCTGGAATAAGTTTTGTATTCAGCTGGTGCTTCAGGTGGTCCTTATGCTGGGGCTTAGTATTGCAATCAATACTAAACAAATGCAGATTAATTTAGATTTTTTTTAAAAGTAAAAAAATAACATTTGCACAAAAAAGAGAAGATTTCAAAATGCTTATAGAATACTGAGCCCAGTTTTGGACCCCTGGTGCAAGAAAACCAACAATAAGCTGGAGTGAGTTCAGCATAAAGCCACCAAGATGGTCGGGGTCTGGAGCACTGGCTGTGTGAGGAGACTCTGTGAGAAGACACTTAGCCTGGAGAGGGATAGTGGAGGGAGAGAGCAGCATCTTCTAGTATCTCCCAGGAAGCTACTGATGATGGAGTCAGAATCTTTGCAGTGGTGCATGGTAGGAACATGGGAAACAATGGGCATAAATTCAAGTAAGAGAGGTATTGATCATGTATAAGGAAAGCCTTTTTCACCATGAGGACAGTCAGTCATTGCAGCAGGTTGCCCAGAGAATTTGTACAGTCTACATCCTTGGATGTTTTCAAGACCAGACTGGATAAAGCCCTGAGCAGCCTGGTCTGATCTCATTGCTGACCTTGCTTGGAAGAGATATATATATGCCAATAGACACAGCTGAAGGATTAGGACCTAGCCAAAAAAAGCCTAATTAACCTGTAAGACTAAATGAAGGTTTGAACTGTTTTTGTTGTGTAATGTCACTGTAGAGTTGAGATCCATTCCACATCTCTCCTTCCCCATTTTCTCCTTCCTGAACAGAAAACTATAGTAAAAATTCTGAAATAGAGATGTTTGAGCAAGCTCTGTAGGATAAATACAGTTGTAATGTGTGTATATTTCTATGGTTGTAAGTCTCAGTGTGTTCATCTTAATATTGAACTTTAAAATCATTCTCTCAGATTGTGACTCAAATTCGGCTAAATCGTGTACTGCTTCTGCTCCGTGGGCTAACAAGAGAAGCCAGAGGTTCGGAGGAAGGCTCTGTGTCTGGTAAGGAGTAGAAGAGGAAGTTGATATTTTGGCCATGAATTGTGATAATACAGATTGTATTGCAGCGTGTCACGTGTGTAACTTATGAACGTAAAGACAGAGTCCTTACACGGGTGTCTTCCAGCAAAAAAGCGCACTGCGACAAGCTAGAATCATAGAATGGTTTGGGTTGGAAGGGAAGGGACCTTTAAAGGCCATCTAGTCCAACTTCCCTGCAGTGAGCAGGGACACCTTCAACTACATCAGGTTGCTCAGAGCCCCGTCCAATCTGACCTTGAATGTTTCCAAGGATGGGGCTTCTATCCCCTCTCTGGGCAACCTGCGCCAGGGTTTCACCACCCTCATTGTGAAAAATTTCTTCCTTGTCTAGTCTAAATGTGCCTTCTTTTAGTTTAAAACCATCACCCCTTGTCCTATCGCTATAGGCCCTACTAAAATCATAGAATAGAATGGTTTGGATTGGAAGGGACCTCAAAGATCATCTAGTTCCAACCCCCCTGCGATCAGCAGGGACACAAAATGTAGAAATGACTGTAGTCAAAATACACCTGTTCTTCATACGCATTATTTACCAGATTTTAAAAATGTGATTAACTGTTCTTAGGAGCCTTGCAGCTTATCTAGTTGATAACAGGGCAGAAGTTGTGGATGCACCATCATTAGAAGTGTTCAAGGTCAGGTTGGATGAGGCTTTGAGCAACCTGATCTAGAGACAGATGTCCCTGCCCCTGCCAGGATGGTTGGACTAGGTGATCTTTAAAGGTCCCTTTCAACCAAACCATTCTATGATTCTACTTACAGGTCTGAGGAACAAGGAAAGGGCAGATGAGACTATATGAGAAACAGACAGGTAGGTAAACAGATCAGGTGGAGCTCAAGAAGTTAGAGACATAGGATAAGAGGAGCTTATCACATGAGGAATGGAAGAGGGAAAGACACCTGAATGTGATGAAGGCAAGATATCTGAACTCAGCGAAATGAGATGGTAGGAACCATGAGCTACATGGCTAGGTGGCCAGTACTGGGTTGAGTTTTCCTCCTTATAATTTTCTCATACAAGTGCTTTCAAGCAATCACTTTTCTTTACAGTGAAATTAAAGTGCTGGCCTGGAAAAATCACTTGTTCTTTAACAGTCATAGAAGGAAACTGGCCTTGGATGGGAGTCACAGTTGGGTGTACTGGGGACAGAAGAGAATTTGTCTCTCTTATTTCCGCTTTATTGGACACACACCATTTGACAACTACTGAAACACTTTTCCCTATCAGGCCTTTTCCTGCTTCTGCAAGGAGGCACTTTTAATTTCCAGTATGCAGCAGTTGCAGAGATGCTTCAAGTAGAAGGTGTAATGGCAGTTAGTGTAAGAGAGGCCTTCTGACTGGCTCTGAGCAGAGCAAGATAGATGACCATGCTGGAATGAGTGGGCAGTAATATCCCTTTAGAAAAAGGGAATTAGATCTGTCTGCTAGTCAAGATATTGTGTCTGCTATCTTGTAGATGTGGCATTTAAAGCCTTTAGGAAATATTAACTTTCTTTTTATATTAAAATTACTAGATACCTTGTCTTAGGAATATGTTCAATATATTTTGTGGCTTGATTCTATTTTTGAAACAGTGTATTGAGATATATTACAAAATCTTAATATTTGCTTTCCATTCCTGACAGAAAGCAGGAGTTCCAGCAGACCAGAGAAGAATGAAGAATGTAAGAGCTTTTCTTCCCGCATGTCTGAAGATCGTATATTGCCTTTTGAATTCCCCTTTTACAGTTCCCATGAACTGCACCGTGATTTGGTAGGTATAGTAACTAAAATGGTGGCCAACACTCAAGACAGAATATATTTTGTTGAAGACATTGGCTCCAGGCCCAATATTGCCTTTATTAAAATTTCACAACATGACTGGTGTTCTGGGGTTCAGACAAATTAATTCAGGATTTCAGATTTACCAAGAGTGCTGCTGAAAACAGTAAAAAAATCCTTGAATTCTCTTAATTGCATTCTAGAATTACCTTAATAATCAGAGTTATTTAACATCCATGATTTTGCAGAATAAAAGAAATAAAAAATAGCTCAAATGCCAAAGCCCAAGGAAGGACAGGAGAAATATAAAATGCATAATTATTTCCATATGTTTTCAAGTGGCTGTGCTGATGGATTGCTGCCAATGCAAACCAAAATGCCCACCATATTACTAGGTTTTAAATACTGTGTTCTTTCAGGCACCTGATGCTCTTGGCCTAGTTCCTATCGAATCTGTAGATGTGAAAATCAGACACGTTATTCCTTTTTACGACTTGAAGGTGAGTCAGTACCTCTCCCTCAATTGTATCATGTTTCTCTCTGTGACCAGTCCAGTTAGACATGTTTTCTGTCTGATTCAGTGGCCCCAGTGTGCAGCCCAGTAGAAGTGTTGCCTTAATGTGGTGTATGATTAATGTGCTTTTATTAAAAACAAATCTCACCTGTTTCTATAAGTAACAAGCTTCTAAACCCTTTTCTCTCTAATTTTTGAATACCAAAAGATCAAATTCTGCACCCCATCAAAGTAAAAATATTTCCTCAGGTGCAAATCAATGCAGATTTTGTCTCAGTGTCCACTTTCTGTTTTTCAGGTGGTGTAACAAGTCTAGAAACTTTCTTCTAGCATCTTTTCTCCCTATCACACAGGTTCATCTATCAGTGTTAGGTATTTTACTTAACACAGCTTTTCTCCACCCCATTAGGTTCAGCATATTTGATCAAGAAACTATTAAATCCATGATCTTTCATGTAAAAGCAAGAATGGAAATATTTCTTTATGCACTCATTCAGCTTGGCTTCTCAAAGTTTTGGTCATATACCGTGTTCCAGAATAGTGATCCATGTATCTTTTAGCACAGAGATGTGATGTGTCCGTGATAAAGCTGGAATGTTCCATTCCATCTATGAGTTAATCAAAAGTGATTATTGGAATTTCCTGCAGCACACCTTTTTGCTTTGCACTTAGGTTCCTCAGCATTTCAGCATTATGAAGTATCAGCCATTTTGTACACACTATGCAGCCACAAGTTACAAACCTCGAAAACTTTCTCGACCACTGAGGCAGGGAGCCCAGGTAACAAGTCATCTCAAATACAAACTTTGAAGTCACTCCTAACCCTAAATTTCTGAAATTATTTGATTAACTTTGTCTCAACATTTTATACCAAAAGGCTTACTACACTCTGAAAACCTTTGATGTCTGTGTTTTTCAAGGATGAGTTGATTCAAATAGTTGCTTCTCCTGAGGGGCAGCCTAACCTGGTCTCCCACAGCATGGATTTTCACAAACCATCCCCGAAAGAAGTAGCAGAAAGGGATATCAGCCTCTTAAACCTGGTTCCTCCCCAAGCTTTGGTCAACCCTACAGAGAGCAACCCACTTCGCATTTTTGTAAGTAGAAGTTGATTTCCACAAGGAACCTAAGAAAGGAAGGGAAAAGGTGTTTGTTTCATCAGAAGCCTAATGTGGAATTGGTGGGCAATTTTCTTACTCAGATTGGTATATAAAACTATCCAGTGAGTAATCCTTCCAAGTACAATCCCTGGTAGGGAGAAATCACAGAGCTCATACCACTGAGAGAGGCACCATTTCACTTTAAGGTGGAACTGATCAACAGTTTAGGGGAGGGATGATAAGGCAAAGTTGTCAGTGATGGCAGAGAACTGGAGGCCCTTCCAGTCTCACACTCTACAAATGGTCACTGATCCCAGAATTCCCTGGAACACCACAGGGCCCCTCCCTTCTTCTCCATTTATTGCTCCATTTGGGTGTTAGAAGAAAACCCACAAACTTGGCATCACAATCCCTCTATAACCTCGTACTTTTGCCCAGGTAGGTAGGACAGGTAGAGTCTTTTCCTTCTTTTCAGCTAGGGGGCTGCAGTTCTGCCTGATCCTTAGGTAAACTGAGAAAAGTGAAGTCAGACTCTTTGCTCACATTATGTTCTGCTGCTGCAGAGTTTCCAGTAGTTCTTATAGCATCCCAAAAACACGTTTCCAAATTATTAGGCACAGAGATTCAAAAAATCACAACCAGGTGCGTGGGAGGATTTTCTCTTACTTAATTGTCATGTAGATTGTGCTACTTGGCACCAAGTGCAGAAGGTATTTCCCACACAGTGCAGCACAGCCTGGAGGTCCCTGAGGTGTCTCTGAGCAGGCAGAGACAGCTGTATAGCTCACTGAAGTGCTATGCGTGGCTACAGGCAGCATCTCCAAGCCAGCATGGCACTGTGCCTGACTTGGGTGGCTCTGTCTGTCAGCATTACTTATCTGCAATGGCCCAGATCCCGATGTGCTAGTCTGGTGGTCTTGGCATAACATATATGGTATAGACTTGTCCTCACTGCGTGTGGCCGGGACTCCAGTGGACTTGCTGATGAGATCCTCTGTGCACCTCTTTAATCTCTCTGTCATGTCAGTGTAAGAGCCAGGCACAGCCTGATCCCACCCTACCCAGCATTAGACTGTATTCAGAAACAGATGCTAGTGCAGTGAAACAGACGACAAAATGCTCACTAGCTTCCACCACAGCGAGGTGGAAGTTCCCGTTCTTGGATTCTGAACTGTTCAGAGAATCAGCAATGGATTTTGGAGTAATCAGGCAATATTTTTTTCTTCCAAACTTGGAGTCAACACCTAAATATCTGTATTTTAGACATCAGAGAGCATGGATAAACCAGGCAGATTATGGGTCTTTGATGATGGGAAGAGATGGGAAATAAAAGGTCACACCAAACAGAACAGTCACAATGAGACAAAGGTGTGAATCTAGGAAGACTACATTAATTGTAAGAACAGAATTTTATAGAATCATAGAATGGTTTGGGTTGGAAGGGACCTTAAAGATCATCTAGTTCCAACCCAATTTTCATCAATTTAGTTCTTTACGCTGCTAAAAATTATTTTTTAAAATAATCTCTTCTTTGTTTTTAGAACCCCACTCCAGGATTAGTTCCACTTTTACCTCCTTTGGCCTATTCTGAAACAAATATTGAATATCATCTTTGTCCTCATCCAAAATATACCGTTACCAAGGAATGCCCCAAAGGATCCAGTATTCCAGTCACACAAAAGAAATTTCTGCATCACAGGGTATGGCCTTTTGGGTTTATTGTATGAGTACCTGGCTTGAGTATGTTCTTGCTGAGAATTTGCTCCAAGGAATCAAAAAGGGAGATGAAGAGTCATCCTAGATAGAAGACATTTTCAAATATAAATTATGCATGCACCTAAATAGTCAGTACATGGGTCAGAATAACTTGTTCTCGTTAGCCTTTATCGATGTCTCTTATTTATCCCTGAGTATTTCTCTACTCTTTCCTTCTTTTCACTGTTTGTTGTATTTTCATAACTTTGCAGTGGAGGAAGCATCTTTTCAATATGGAGAACTGCAGCTACCTAGATTCAATTCTCAGCCAAGAAGTCAGATGCTCTGTCCTGCAAGCCTCTCTCCCCACTGCATTATGTGTTAGATCACTGTAGCACTTGTCATTTCAGGAAGTGATTTGTGGAGTAATGGAATGGAGAAGGTTCTTACCGGTGGTGTTTTCCACTTTTTCTGACACTCCTTCATTGACAAGTACAACACCTAAGTAAGAAAGAATTTGCATATTCAGTGCCTCTACCCTGCACTAGTTTCTGCTGTTAGTAATTATATTGACCAGTAACTAATCCCACAGCTAAAAGCGGGCTTATGGGTGGAATTAATTGCTGCTTAGAAATCCAAGACCAATGGGAAAAATCCCTACTTACCTCCTTGAAGGGTGGGTTCTTGAGAACAATCTCATTTCAGGAAATACCTAGCCCTGGAAAGAGAGTTCCAGTCTGCACCTTCAATAACATCTTTCCTGAATGCTTTTTGATTCAGTGCCAGTTTGTAACCCGGGAGGTACAAACTCTGTCCTGCAGAAGGATGAATGATAAAACCTTTAACATGTGGGCTCCTGTGGTAGCCAACATCTCTCAGGCTCACATTCCCCTGTATCACAGCAGTTTCTGGTGTACTCAGATTTTCAAGGGATATTTAAAAGTACATCGTCTTCATTGTAACTGCAACTACTGTGAAGCTTCAAAATATAAACATTTAGTGCATTTACTCTCTGCCCACCTTAAGCTAATTCCATTTCCATCGCAGGGATCCATACAGTTTGGATATGCTTCCAAGAGATGCACCACCAATCCTGTATGACTTGCCTGAGAGAGACAGGGAGAACATAACTGACCAGTAAGTTTCTCCTCTGTTTTATATTTAGTGTGATTTATTATGTCTTAACCACTTGTATGGCTGTGTCTAAACCTGTCTCAAGAGAACCTCAAAGGCAAAAGCACCAAGTCCCTCTTTCATAAAACATTTTTTTTTTTTTTTTGGCTACAAAATACTTATAAAAGGATAAATCCTGATTATTCTTCTTCTTACTAATTTTTAGTGAGACAGATGAAACTGAATTCCAAATGGTTCTTACTCCAGAGATGGTGAGAGCTGAATTTCCACAAATTGAGCAGGCACTCTCAGAAAGCAAAGAGCAATCAGCAAAAGAAGAAAGGTAATTATAACTTGAAATTAGGGGAGAGAAATGGGAAGGAATCTGAAGACAAGCATCCCCTTCAGAATGACATAGAAAGTCACACTGAGATGCTCTAGGGGCTCATCACAAGTGGGATGCCGATCTGGTACCTTGAGCAAATTTGCACTGCAAGTGCAATCTCCGGATTGGACTTCAGAAAGCAGCTGTGAACGTGACACACTGGCCAGGATGTCTCTGACTTCAGTGTGATCTAACACTTGAGGCAGTTTTCTTGCCTTCACAGAGATATTCAGCGTTCTTGGACCAGTGGCATTTCCTTTTCAGTGACCCTTTTAGTTAGGTGTTTATTAGGGCTCGCAGAGGAACAAGCCCTTAGAATTTCCCCTGGCATGGTGCTTTTTTCTCAGCCTCTTCCCAGGAGTGGGTCACATTTGCTCTGCTGTCTGAGCTTCACGCTTCGCCAACACACATTGGGGTTTAGGCACACAGCACAGCATGTAAAATAACTCGCATTCATAAACACAGAATTACCTATTCCCTAAAATGCTGTAAACTGACCACTGTAAGGGCCAGATTCTGCCTTTTGCCTCCAGTGTTGTCAGGCCAGTGTCCCGAGTTTGTAGCTCAGCAGAGAAGCCTTGAGGGGGAACCTGAGGACAAGGAAAGCTCTGAGGGACAAATGGATCTTTGATGGAGTTGATGCTTGCCACCATGGTTCCAGCACAGAATTTCAGAACTGCCCAGCAGTTCTGGGGCTGGAAGCAGAAGTGGATGCACTGTGTGAAATGTTGGGGTATGTGATGTTGCAGGAAGGATGCAAGGAGGTGTATGAGCTGGTGAGTGGGACCTGGGGGCAGTGGGCTTGACCAACAGGCAGTGCGAGTAGGATAAGTGATTGCAGGGCAACACAGGAGAAAGTGCTGAGTTCTAACTCTGTGTTTTCACAGATACCTTGTGTGACTTGGAGCAAGTGAATTAACCTTTCTGTCCATCAGTTGCCCCCTTTTTAAAGCAGTCATGATGTGGCTTAGGTGCATAATAGCCTAAAACTTTCAGAGCCACCAAGAGATTGGAATGTCTCATTTTCTTTAATTTTAGAGGGAATTGACTGACATTCAAATCCTGTGCAACTGTTAGCTGTTAAACTTTTAAACAGTGCTGCACATTATGAGCTCTCTGACAAAACACTGATTGCTGTATTGTGATTACTACAGCAATTGATTGAAAATAATTTGCTGTAAAAATGCAGGTGTGTCTGACTCAGTGCTGCTTTTTGCATTGTATGAAACTCTCTGTTTTATGAAACTCATGATCATTTTATGATCCCCTCTGTCCGATCACGGGGATTTGGGTTAGCTTGTACAAATAGAGAGTGAACTTTTTATCCACAGTGATACAGTGATGGATGGTGCTTTTTCTGGGTAAGTAGTTTTATAACCATAAGGTTCATTCTTTTTGAAGTTTTAGATGTTTTCTTCAAAAAAGAAAATACTTTTCTATATTAAACACCTCTAAGGTATTAATATTTACTTTTGAAAGCTTCCCTATTTGTTTGGCTCTGTAAAGAGGGAAACAAAAATTTATTAGCAAACAATGAAATCCCAATCTTTTCTTTTGCCACTGGGAGGTTCTTCATTGTTACTGATGGGGCGGTGTGTCACTAGGTGACAGAGCACACATTGCTCCTCTATCCCAGTTTCAGCATTTTATCTTTAAGACAAATCAGTTTTTCATGTGGGTACTCTTGTTCTGGCCTTTACAGCATATATTCCTTCATAGGTAAAATGTAAAATTCAGTCCAGTATGTGTTTACCTATCAGATGGTTAGCTTTGC